GAGCCTGACTCGCCTGCCGACTCACCACTGAGCCTGACTCGCCTGCCGACCCGCCACTGAGTCAGACTCGCCTGCCGACCCGCCACTGAGCCTGATTCGCCTGCCGACCCGCTACTGAGCCTGACTCGCCTGCCCACTCGCCACTGAGCCTGACTCGCCTGCCGACCCGCCACTGAGTCAGACCCGCCTGCCGACCCGCCACTGAGCCTGATTCGCCTGCCGACCCGCCACTGAGCCTGACTCGCCTGCCCACTCGCCACTGGCCGCCACTGAGCCTGACTCGCCTGCCGACTCGCCACTAAGCCTGGTTCGCCCGCCGACCCGCCACTGAGACGCAACCACCCACCTGCAGAGTCATGTCGCTGAGCACGTTGGCCTCGATGCAGCGGAGGAACATGTCATCCTCCATCTTGTCCAACTGCTCGACCTCGTCGGCGACCTTGGAGTCGTCCGAGTTTATGATGCGGATGCGCAGCACCAGCTTCTCGGCGTTTTCGTCGTTGAAGATGCAGTTCAGGCCGTCGCCGAAGCCGGCGTTGATCTTCTCAGAGATCTGCTCCATGGTCAGCCTCTGGTCTGCGGCCGGCAACGGGGTGATGAGGCGGCGCCAGCGGATGGCAGGTGTCGACACAGAACACGGGCTTCGCAGTCCAGACAGCTGGCTTCCGGCACCCAAAAGGAACCTGGCTGGCATTCGGTAACAGGGTCGGCAAACCAAAGGACAGCCAAAAACAGTGGCAAATTGTCGTCGGATGAAATTTGACAGAAACTTCTTCATAAGTCACTGAAAGCATAACTGAATGTCGCGCCTCATTCTTGCTTGACAATTAGGTAAGGCTGTTACGAGCTCAGGTATAAATCTGACAGCGATAATTCAGTCATTCAATCGTTGCCGTCGCAAACACACATTTGCTCAGGCGCTCCGTGAAGGGATGTAAACTGCAGTTCGTCTTGATCACTTACAGCCGAAACTGAACCGCAAGCGTTTGACCACATATATAGACGCTGACAATACGTGTGGTCAAACCAACGCTATCAACTACGCGCGAACGCCAAGTTTCGAGCTGTCGAGAGATTTCGAGCCAACACGCCACGAGTTGAAATTTACCGCCGCATTTCAGTTAGCCATACTAAAGAACCTAGCGCGAGGAGTCCAAACACATATCCACAAAGAAAAGAAACTTACTCTTTTATTCACCTATCTGAAAAATATATTTGTTTTGGACTGACATGTCATAAACAAGTCGCAGCAGCACCAGAAATCGGATCGAGCATGACCGGCGACACCAGCCCCACCGGCCGGCACTCACCAGTCATCCGCTTGCGGTCCAGCTCGATACGCAGCAGCCAGGGGGAGATGCGGGTGAGGTCGAAGTCGAGCATCTTGCAGTAGAAGCTGACGAACTCCTGGTCCTCGGCGATCACCGTGTCCTGTGGGTCGGGGTCGTAGTAGATGGCCTTGTTGGCCATGACCTTTCGCAGCGTGGAATGTTCCAGGCGACACAGCACGTTCTTGGCCTTCTCTGCGTCGCGCGCGCTGGCGCCCGTCAGAAACACCGTCAACGAAGGCACTTTCGGCTTCTTGCTTACGTTGATAATCTCCTTGAGACGCGGCACGGCGAGCGTCACGTTCTTGGACGACACGCCAGCGAAGTGGAATGTGTTGAGCGTCATCTGCGTGACGGGTTCGCCGAGCGACAGGGCGGCCAGGGCGCCCACCATTTCGCCTGGGTTGGTCATGGCCTGGTGGAAGCGCGTGTCGATCTCGGCGATCAGCCACTCGAACGCCTCCGAGCTGAGCCGGTACTCCTCGGCCACGCGGCGCGTGCACAATGTCGAGCGTACTAGGCAAGAGAACAGGCTGGTGGCGTTGGCGTTGGCCGTCTTAGAGAGCTGGTCTTCGCCCCGCACCACCACGCAGCGCGACAGCAGCGTGCGCACACCCTCCAGCACCTTCAGCGGTCTCAGGTCGGTCGGCTCAGCCTTCTTGATGTGGAAGATCTTCTGGCTGTTCCAGATCATGCGCTCTAGGTTGCAGGGCAGTACGACGCGGCTCTCACCGGTGGGGAAGATTTGGCGCAGCTCCTGCCGGTCGCGCGAGAGGCTCTCCCACTCGCGCTCCAGCTCGCCGATCATCTCGGCCGAGCCCATCAGATCGCGCACGATGTCCTCCTGAAAGATGCGCCGCAGGTGCCGCTCGTTGGTCGTCTCGAACTTGAACTTGCGCCGGAACGCGGCGTCCGACAGCTTGATGGTAGGCAGCGACTGAAACTCAACGAACTCGCCGGCCAGGCCGTCCTCGCCGTAGCGCAGCTGCACCAGCTGCGCCGCCGAGTTGCGCACGGTGCCGTCGTAGTTGACCATGACCGACTCCATGGCCTTGATGAGGCGACGCTGGATGTAGCCGGTCTCGGCCGTCTTCACACCTGTGTCGATCAGACACTCTCGGCCGCCCATGGCGTGGAAGTAGAACTCGGTGGGCGTCAGGCCGGCCAGGTAGGAGTTTTGGACGAAGCCTCGTGACTCCGGTCCATAATCGTCCTTGACGAAGTGCGGCAGCGTGCGCTTGCGGAAGCCGAAAGGGATCCGCTTGCCTTCCACGTTCTGCTGGCCCACGTACGCGATGATTTGAGTGATGTTGATGGACGAGCCCTTGGAGCCGGCCACCACCATGGCCTTGAGGTTGTTGTACTCGCTGAGCGAGTTCGTGGCGGAGGCGCCGGTTTTGTCGCGCGCATTGTTGAGAATGCGGTTGGCGTGGTTCTCGAACGTCTGTCGCAGCGTGTTGCCGGGCGTGGGCTCCAGTTCGTCGTTGTGCGCCTTCTCAATCACCTGGATCACGTCCTCCTTGGCATTGCGGATGCCGCTCTGGATATCGGAGTAGGTCTCCGGGTCGGAGATGGTATCGTCGATGCCGATCGAATGTCCCTCGTACAGCAGCCAGGCGTTTACCACCGACTGGATGTCGTGGTAGAAGTGGCCGCAGATTTCGTGGCCCAGCTCCAGCCAGCAGATGTGCAGAAGCGAGCCGGCCGACGCGCCCAGCGACTTCTTGCACAGAATGCCCATGACCAGCTCGCCGTTGTCGACAAGCACCTTGGTGTCGCCGGGCGAGATCCACTTGTAGGGGCCGTGGTCTTCGTCGTCCGGGTGCAACAAGTGCGTGCGGATCATGTTCACTTTGCCCGGGATGATGAGCGAGAACAGCTGCTTGCCGGTCCACAACGGGCGCGGCTTGACCACGGCCGGCACCGGGATCTTGCCGTCCCACGTCGGCAGGAACATGAGCAGGTTCATCATCTCCTCCTTCTCTAGAAATACGTTGCGCTTGGTCATCTTGCACACGGCCGTCAGCGTGTCCTGCACGATGCCCATGACGGGCTTGTTGGACTGCGGCGTGATGATCATGCGCGGCGTAACGTGCATGTTTTCGATCTCGGCGCGCGTCTCTATCGACTGCGGCACGTGCAGGTTCATCTCGCCACCGTCAAAACCGGCGTTGTAGGGCGAGGTGACACTGAGATTGAATTCGAAATGTCGACCAGGGCAGTACCTTGACGCGGTGGCCCATCATACTCATCTTATGCAGCGTCGGCTGCCGGTTGAAGATGACCAGGTCACCGTCGACGATGTGTCGCTCCACTTTGTAGCCGCACTGCAGGTGCAGGTCAGACGGCTTCCGGCGGAAGCGCAGGTCAATGTGCTCGCCGTTGTCGCGGATTATGTACCTGGCGCCCGGGTACTGGTCGTTGCCTCGCTTCACAAGGTCCTGCATCTTGTCGGTGTTGAACGGCGTCACGATCTCCGGGTAGGTGAGGTTGAGCGCGATCGACTTAGGCACGCCCACCTGGTCGATACGTAGATTCGGATCGGCCGTGATGACGGTTCGCGCCGAGAAATCCACTCGCTTTCCCATGAGGTCGCCTCGGATGCGACCCTCCTTGCCCTCGATGCGCGCCTTGATGGTCTTGAGCGGTCTTGAGCCGCTCTTCTGCATGGCTCGCGGCAGACTCGGTATGTTATTGTCCGACAGCGTGGCCACGTGGTACTGCAGCATCTTGTGATTCTCGAGGATGACGTGCGCGGCGGCGCCGGCCGCCTCGCTTTTGATCAGCTCGTTGTTGGCCTTGATGATGTCGGCCAGCTTGTGTGTGAGGTCGTCCTGGTTCTTGGCTGAGCCGAACGTCATGACGGCCGGCCGCACGCAGAGCGGCGGCACCGGCAGCACCGTGATAATCATGTAGTCGGGCCGGGCGAACTTGAAGTCCATACCGAGCAGGAAGCACTCGTCGTCCGAGATGTGCTTGAAGATCTCGTAGACGCGCTCGGCGGTCAGGTTGATCTTCTTCTCCTGCGAGTTCTCTTTGACGTGCTTCCATTCGGCGGTGAGGTCGAGGCCCGAGCGGCGGATGCGCGGCTGGTACCGGCCGCAGCCGCCGCGGCCCTTCACACGGCCCGGGCCGTCGCCGCCGCCGTCCTTCTGCAGGTCCAGCTCGCCGCCGCCCTCGCACATGTTCTTACTCTTGCACAGGTCGTGCACGTGCGTCAAACGCTTGCGCGGCTGGCCTTTGGACTTGAGCACGATTTCCTTGATCTTAGGATTTGTCGGCGTGACGAGCAGCTTGGAGCAGTTGAAGCAGACGCAGCGCAGGATCTTGATGCCGGTGTTGAGGAAGCCCGGGTGGAAGACGGGCTTGGCCAGGTCGATATGGCCGAAGTGGCCGGGGCACTCTGTCATGTTGCCGGTGCACGTCTGGCAGCGTGAGAGCCTGTCGATGACGCCCTGGCGCGGGTCCATCAGGCCGCCCAGCTTGGGCCGGCCGCCCTCCATTGTCTCCGGGTACTTGATGCCGCCCTCGGTGACCGACATGCGGCGCAGCTCGTCCGGGCTCAGGATGCCGAACTGGATCCGCTTCATCTCGCGCAGAGGCGCCTTCGAGTCACCCGACGGCGCAGCCATGGCGGCGCGGCTGGGGCGTGGCTGGGGCGCGGCTGGGGAGCACCGCTCGGTCACTGGTCCGGCGCGCCCGCTCTGCAACAGGGCTGACGCGCCGTCAGTGCAGGGAGCGGGAGCGCCGCCAGAAGCACCGTGAGGGTTCATGTCAAGGTTACAGACATTTCAGCGGCATATGCTTGACTGATCCCACACACCATTTGCAAACCACCTGGACACCAAGTACTGGTATCAGGGAGGATACCACTCAATGACTATGACCACAAGGAAATTTGCATTTGAAATGTACTTCTGTGCACTACCACCATACGCCACCAGACGTAAATGTCAAATTAAATTTAATCATTGAAGTCAGTGCCAGACTAAAAAAAGCGTTATCAGCAAACAGTTCGGACATCTCGGTGGAAACACTGGTTAGCCAACACCAGCTAGCGAGTGACCAGCACGCGGACCAGCTCTGCAGCCAGGTGACCGGCACCGCGGACCAGCTCTGCAGCCAGGTGACCGGCACCGCGGACCAGCTCTGCAGCCAGGTGACCGGCACCGCGGACCAGCTCTGCAGCCAGGTGATCGACACCGCGGGACCAGCTCTGCAGCCAGGTGATCGACACCGCGGACCAGCTCTGCAGCCAGGTGATCGGCACCGCGGACCAGCTCTGCAGCCAGGTGATCGGACACCGCGGACCAGCTCTGCAGCCAGGTGATCGACACGCGGACCAGCTCTGCAGCCAGGTGACCGGCACCGCGGACCAGCTCTGCAGCCAGGTGACCGGCACCGCGGACCAGCTCTGCAGCCAGGTGACCGCACCGCGGACCAGCTCTGCAGCCAGGTGACCGGCACCGCGGACCAGCTCTGCAGCCAGGTGACCGGCACCGCGGACCAGCTCTGCAGCCAGGTGATCGACACCGCGGACCAGCTCTGCAGCCAGGTGACCGGCACCGCGGACCAGCTCTGCAGCCAGGTGATCGACACCGCGGACCAGCTCTGCAGCCAGGTGACCGGCACCGCGGACCAGCTCTGCAGCCAGGTGACCGGCACCGCGGACCAGCTCTGCAGCCAGGTGACCGGCACCGCGGACCAGCTCTGCAGCCAGGTGACCGGCACCGCGGACCAGCTCTGCAGCCAGGTGACCGGCACCGCGGACCAGCTCTGCAGCCAGGTGACCGGCACCGCGGACCAGCTCTGCAGCCAGCCGCGGACCAGCTCTGCAGCCAGGTGATCGACACCGCGGACCAGCTCTGCAGCCAGGTGACCGGCACCGCGGACCAGCTCTGCAGCACACCCCGCCTGCTCCCCCCGCCGCCAACACGACTAGAACTGGCCGAGAACTTCTCTGATCTTGTCAATGCAGGGAGTTCGGTCACTGGAGTTCGGCTTCTGGCAGCCACACATAATCGGAACCGATCCGATTCTACCACGACTTGTGACATCGATGTTCGGATAAAAACATCATGGCAATATCGCAGGTGATGTGCCATTGCACATCTTGAAATAAGTGTCATAGTTTAAACCAAATGATGGGATTGGGGGTAGACTTGGACTCGCCAGGAGGCCGGAAAGCAGGCTGCTTGAACACTGATCACTCTCTGTCCCAAAATGGAAAACAAACATTTTCCACCCACCATACCTTACTTCATTCTACACACATCAGTGCGGCGGCATGTCCCCACACGATTTTATTTCCCAGCCAAGGTACAGTACTTCCTGACACTGATATACTTCAGTAAGGAAGCATAATGTGCTGCACGGCGCCACTCGCTCTGGACCCCATCTAGCCTTTTTTCGGTTCAGTGCTTTTTGGCCCATAAGCCAAGGGTCAGTATTGGGACATGCAAACCAACACGATATCCCTTCAAACGCCAGTGAAAACATCTCGTGACTTGGATTTGGAGGAATTGTGTATCAACAATTAATTGGGGGACATATGTGAGCTACCTGGATTTATAACGCCAACGTTCCTCCATAAAAAGGCTCCGAGCAACAGAAAGCAACAAAATTGGTCCTATCACCCAGGCACTACTAGACTAGGGCCAAGCTGTTCACACATTTCTTAAATGAATTTCAGCATGATATACAGCCAAACAAAAGCAGACTGTTATTCCCTCACCCGTGTCGCACGTTAGTTGTAATCTATAAAAAACCTCCTGGCATGCATAACGTAATTGATAAATGGTCCCATAAGCACCACCACAGAAGGCCGGACCAGACCGGTTAGAGGGCCGGACCCTCAAAAATCAGTTGGAGGGTCCCTCCATCCCTTTTGCACCGATTGCGGCCTCCCCTGGAACTGTGAGGGTTTCTTTGCCAGTCAGCTGACCGAGACACCAATACAGGAGAGTCGGTTCTGCGCCGGTCTGGGCCCTGAGGCCCGTTTTTCAAGTAGGGGCAGTGCCGAGGCCTACAAATGCTGATCAAACACCTCTTCCGTTGCTCAGGCCAATAAAACCGTGAAGGGTGCCTGCGCTGATCAGGAGCTCAAGGTGCCTAACAGGGGACCCCTATCGGCAATAGAGCTGAAGTCGACTAGCGGCACATTTTCTGAACACGGACAGGAGTGACCTCGAATGTCAAAAGACTTCTGCGTTGGTCAGGACCCTCTTGACAATGGAAGGAAGCATGAAAAATGATGTCGCAAAGGGGCACACTCAACATGAAACAATGACCTCTCTGTCAAAAACCCCAGTACCGAACGAGAGGCCCTCTGCACCATTCCAGGCGAGGCCCCATGAGGCGATTTGCTGTCTTGACACCAATGACCGAACTCCTGCGCCGGTATGGGACTCCTTTTGCGTCAGTGATAATCCCCGCGTCGATCTTGTGCCAGATGCCCAGGCCACAGGGTCTGCCGCATCATGAACGGGACCAATGTATAACGCATTCCCTGAGGGTCACCGCATCGCCATAAAAGCAGCTGCTAAGCACCCAGGACAGGAATGGAAGGCTCTTCAGCTCGCGACCAGTACATTTCACCTGTGCCATTTCGAGGTTGATTCTCTGAACGGAATTGGCAGTTGATGGCAGATGAGCAGTATGCGCAATTGAGGTTACGTCATTGAGTTATGAGTCCGTCGTGCTCCACATACTGTTCTATTCTGGGATCGATCTGAAAATCGCGCAGGTGAAATGTACGCCCCGGGGATACGTTCTGCACAAATACGAATTCATTTCATGGCACGTTCGAAGGTACGGTTTTTCCATACGATGTCGTTTTTGCCCGCTCGTCGACCCCCGCGAAATGATAGCTGCTGAGACAACGCGAGGCCCACGGAGACTGCAACGCCCAGCGTCAATTTGTTCTTCCTTAGATCGTGGGTGCTTAAAACTATTTAACATAACTTTCCGCTGACGAAGTTTGAACAACTGATGATTATTGCCATGCGAACAGGGGATAGGCATGTTAAAACAAATTTTGAACCCTTTGGAACCGGACCGTCGCGGCGCGAAAGTGAGTGATTTTAAGTCTGAAGTGTCATTCAAGTAACCGCCAAAATTTTTTTTTAATGGGAGCAATGCAAATTCGATATGGGGACCCGAAGGACTGGCTGAACGTCATTAAGGGGGCGCGGGTCAGGCCCTCAAATACCAGTTAGAGGACCCGTTCAAACCGATTAAACCTCCCCCTCCCCCCCCCCCCCGAGACTATGAGGGCATCTATGTCGCTTAGGCACCACCAGTACTGAACAGTCGACTCGGCGTTGGTCTGGGTCTGAGAGCCCATTTCCCAAGCAGGGACAAGGCCAGCGCCAGCGGTTTACATTAGTCGGTGCACTCCGAGTCAATGAGGGGCCCCTGTGTCGGCCAGGGGCCTACAGCGCCTAACCGGGAGTCCTGTGTTGACTAGGGGCCCGAGTCGGTCAGTGAAACTGTTCGAGGGTGCCCGACGAGGGACTGACGTGCCCTTCGAGACTGGCGATCAACGGCCCGATTGGAAGGCTGAAGGGCCGAGAGGGTCGAAAGGCTGATGGTCTCATTAAGGATCCCGGCCCGTATGGCCGTAACCTCAAATGCCCGTCAGAATGCCAATCTCACCAATTATGGACCCTGGTTCAACACGGACCTTCATTTCGGTCACAGATCACCACACCGAACATTCGACTCCGTGCCAGTTTGAGCCCTGGTGACCCATTTCCTTGGCAGGAACGGGACCGGGGCCCGTGATTTGCACTGGTCGGAGCCCCTACGACAATGAGGGGTCCTTTGACAGTCATGCCCCACCGTGCCAATAAGGGGGAAGGCGGCCTTTATCGAAAATAATGCCAAGTCTGCCAGGGGTGACTCGGGGCCCTTACCGGGCCCTACACCCCGTTTCAGGTAAGAGCCCGTTAAGTCGCGCAGTGGCCCCTGTGCCAGTCATTGTTACCATCTGCAGGTATCATATATCCTGTTGCATCAACGAGGACTCTTGCGCCGATCCTGGGAGCAATGCCCGGGTCAGAGGGCATCCAGCGTAAGAGAGAGCATCTGTCCATCATCTATCCATGATGGAGCCTTGTAAGGGCCTCCGACTGGACCAGGCGACCCTGCCTGTATGTCGCCAGAATGGCAGCTGGTGCACACCCCGCGCTCAGACGGAATGACCTTTCAACAACTGACCGGAATGATAGTGTGCACCCTCCTGTTCTGCTCGCGGGCCCATGGTGTTCAATAGAGGGAATCAAAAGAGACCAAAATGTTATCCAGTGTCCGCCCACGAACGCCCATCTTCTTGCGGAACCAACTTGCGAAAGAAATAACGTAAAAAGTGATGTGCCTGTGCGCTAGCAACCTAAGGAGCAGGGAACAATACGGTCGAATTTCAGTTTCCGTTGAAGCGAAAAGTGTAGGCCGCTGCCTATAACGCCAGGAGGCAGGGGCCGGGCGAGCGAAAACGACCATCGTGAAATAGCGCTTCCGGAGGCGTTCCAAAATCAGTTTGTATTGTTCAGATTAGACTGGGGCGCGTGCTTCAGTTTTATAATTTTGAGGTTGTTCTCTGAACATATTAGTAGCTACAGCGACAAAAATACACATCGTCCCGTCACTCCCATTTCTACCAAAATAGTCCA